CTTTCGAGTAAATGCTCGATTTCTGCAATGATCAAGGTTAGAGCTGGGAGCCTCATACTTTTGGGGAGTGCACGCAGCATTGTGGGTAAGTTGGATGGGATGGACAGCAAAATGTTTTCCCAAACTGCCTGGAAGTTAGGAAACGGTTGTTTTTAAGATCCCTCCTGTAGCCATAGCAGGGCGACCGCAAAGAAACCAGGGCTCCACGTTGCCCTAGAAGACCATAGCATATTTTAAATGGACCGTTTGGGGCTCTTTCGCCTTCCAGCCAAGACTAATTAGAAAGTTACAGGACGAACCTCAGAAACGGAGTTTATACGACAAGAGAGGGAAATCGTGGAAGGATCGGGCGGGGGGACAGAACTGGGGTAAGCCCTTGCTGGACATTATTGATAATTCTTGCTGTGTGTACCTTGGTCGACAAAAATGGTTCGTTTGGGCGTCTTAAACTTTCCTGCGCTGGAAAGCGTTTTTGTCAACAGCCTTGAAATCCCAATTGCAGCAAGGCTGAGTTTTTAAAAAGGGTGGGGGACCCCAAAACTCTGATTGAAACCGGTAGTCCTCATGCTGGAAATAATCGAGACATAATGACTGTCAATGGAAGGGACGGTTCATAACAAGGCAAACAGATCCGTCGGGGCACAATTGGCCGGTGGCGTTTCTCTGTGCCAGTATTCTGAGTTGGCTTTACTCTTCCCCCCCCCCCGGTTATTTACGGGCAGAAGCAAGGTTTGATTAAGAAGGTGGTTCTGTAGGAGCAGGGAGAAGTCGAGTGCAAACGCTCTAAATAAATAATTACAAGGCGAGAAGCTCCTGCCTGTAATAAATGTCAAGTCGAAAAAGGCCGAGATAACATATATAAGGTGAGATCAGCTCAAACGAGGTATGCAGTTGAAGTCACCACGTGTATTTACATAGGACACCAAGGAAATAGCCTGGGTTTTCCGTCCTGTTGAGAAGATGACCTCATTCCAGACTTATTTGTTATCTGGCTTTATCGGCAGATTCTCTTTTTTGGTGTTTTTACACATAAATATAAATCTTTTTTTTTTAAAGGGGAGAAGCGAATCACTTTGTTACTCACTTTGGAAACGCAGACATTTCATTTGACTCACGCGCTCAAGTACGCATAAACGCGTCCACAAGCTACTTTGCCTTTTCGTTCTGCATGTGGTACGCTCATAGGTGCATAAGTGAAATCCATCGGGTAAACATGAGCACATATGATAGACAGGGGAGGTGTGCGAGTGGAGGAAGTTGTTTGCAATCTATCAATGAAAAATAACTATTCCCAACCAGCTTGCCTGCTTAACCCAACAAATGCAGTTGACCCCGGGCAATTTTTGATGCAGATTTAAACCCAACCAGACACAGAACCTGCATTTGTGGACAAGCAGTTTCCTACGCCCAGGCAACAGACTGGGCGAGAAATTAGGGAGCTGGGGGGGGGGGGCTCCACTTGTGTTAAACTGTCTCAGCTGATCGCCTTCTCAATAAAGAGACAACCCCACCAGGTCCCCAAGCCCCTCTCTTTTGAAACAAACAAACAAACAGGCTGGCAAGCAAATAAACAGGTCTGGATTCTCGGTTTTTAAATCACAAAATCAAAATCGGACAGCATCTTCCTGGAGGGAGCTGCCAAGCTGCTGAGGGGGGGACGGGACACTCAAGGATTGCTCTTGTTTCCTTCTAGCAATTAGTGGGATAGAAAACACATGTGTTGAGTGTGCATTTTGAAGCCTTTCTTTAAATCAGTTCATCAATTTGCTAATTACAGGAGAGGGAGAGAGAGAGGGAGAGAGATTTTTTTTTCTCCTTACCATCACTGTGGGGTAAAATCCGGGGTAAAAAACAAAAAGGGAAAGCAGCTTATGAGTCTGGGGATGTTATTGCAGCTTTCTGTGGGCTTTTTAACTGCAGGGGGCGGCGTGGGGGGGGGAAGAGAGACCCAACTGCTATTAAAGAACTACTAGAGGACTCGCGCATATTTTCACTGCTGTGTAGCAGTTTTAATAAAACATCTGTTCTTGCTTCTGCTGATGAGTTTACATAATTGTTTGCAGACCAATTTAACCAGAAAGAGACCTACACATTTCCCTGAACATCCCCCCCCCCCAGGTAGAAAGGCAAAGGAGGAGAGTACCTTGCATTTATATTCTCACCATCTTAATAATAAATATATTTTTAAAAGAACCCCAATTCCGCAAAATATCCATTAGCTGACAACACTTGGTGGAAGAATGTAAGGACCCTGTTTGCGTCCATGTATTCTCTTGCCCCTTCTTCCCCACCCTACCAAATTTAAAGAGCAGAACATTCCTACGCTGGAGTTTCTTTACGCCAGCTGTTTCTCTTCCCTATAATTCCACCAGACTTTTACATCTTCTCTTCTGTTTAGAAAAGTAATAAAACACTTAGCTTTCTCCACTCCAAGTCACTTGGTAGTTAACACAGGTCGCTCTGAAACAGGACCTGGGCAAAAGATTCCACACCCTTGGACCAAGACTCTGAATCCCTGAGATTACGACTGTTGTTGTTGTTGTTTGTTTCTTAAAAAGTATAGCAAACTAGAGAATCCCCACCATCCCACAAACAAAGGCCTGCAGTCTGTTAATATCTGGTTAATTTACATTGCAGGGTCTTCTTATTGTTGTTGGTCGCTGTCCAGTCTAAATACAAACAAGCACACAGGTATATAGGAGAGGGATTTCTCAAACATTCATTTTTTGTGTGTGGGGAGTGGTGTCTGTGGGGCTTTCAGTTCGGGTTGACTATGCACAGAGACCTTCTAAGCTGTCCAATTAATACCATTGGTTTTCAGAGCAATTCGAATTGGAATGAATGCCATTGTCTTCTCGGTGTCCTATGTTTGTTTGTCTGTCTGCCTGTCTCCTGACCTACCGTCTACGTATACACATGCCTATATGTAAAGGCACACTGAACGCATTGTTATGTATATCTCTCTGACTGGGTAAGGGGTGGGGGTTACCTTATGGTGCCTTTCCCCCTCCTAGGAAAGCAGGGGTGTGTGTGTGTATGGGTGTAAGCATAAATTCCCTGTCAATAATGCCGTGAAGAGCTGAGAAAGGGAAGAAGCGAAAACAAATCCGACAGGATCTCCTCAAATCTGCATACTAGGACCTGGGCGCCCTGTGTTCCAGTCTTCAATGTGTACAAGTTTGAATGACAGCTGCTGCAGGAGAGCAGACAGATCTCTTCCAGTGGGAGAGGAGCTTAGCGTCATAACAAACGGCATACTTCCTTGCAGTGTTTCCATCTTCCCTCATTTATTTTAAAAAAATAAATAAAAGGAAAAAGAGGGGGAAACTTTGGTTGTTGTTGTTTTTTTGCATAGTAACACTCCAGCAATGCTTAAGGTTGTACAAGATGAATCCTCGAGACCCTTTTCTGTCAGCTGTAGTCTCGTTTATGGCTTTATGACTACCATTGATTGCTTTGTTGCACAGAGGAAAAAGATCATAAAATCCTTTGGCATCCGGGTTTCTGTTAAAGCAGGGGGTGGGGGTGGGGGTGAGGGGGGGATGTGTTCCTTTTCATTCCCAACTAAAATCTGCTAGAGATACTCCCCTCCCATAGAAGAATCTGAAAAGTATTGATTCATTACGAGCCAAAACCCATTGAGAAATGCACTTCATTTTGCCAGGTAGCCATCAGATTTCATTTCATGCACACCGATTCCTATCTTTAAAATCACAAAACAAAACAAAAGTCGTCGAACAAGTACATGGGAAATAAGGCCAAGGTTTTCTTGCCCTAATTGAATTTTTAAATAGCCAGCCAGTGGAATGCTGAAGGAGCCTAGCTGTATTTACAGACCAGCAGGTATATTTTACGTTGAAGGAACAATTTATGGCGCTGGATTGAAATTAAAATTAGATTTGCTGTCTTCATTTCAATTAGTGCGTCGGCGCAAATCCGCACAGGAGGAGAATATAATCCCCTCTCTAATCTAACGAAACATTTCAAGGGAAGTTGTCTAATCAGCTACAGTGATCTGGAGCCATAAATAGTGGGTGGGTGGGTGGGTGGTGTGTGTGGGGGTCTTTTTAGGGTTTTCGGGGGGGAGCAAAAGTAAACACGACCTGCTCTTTCGAACACCCTCCATTGCAAATGGACAACACGAGCTCTTCATGGTGGACACTAAACATTCAACCAGCAGTTTCCAAACTGTATGAAAAAAATTCTAAGCGGAGATTTAAAACAGAACAGTTGGAATGTGTTAAAAGAGAAGGTTTAAGGTGAACTCAGAATGTTGTGGTTGGATATAAGAGAGAGAGTGGGGGAGGGGGGGAGAGACTGCAAAGTTCTTAAAATTGTGAAGTACAGAAATGCCCTAAAACACACACACACACACACACAATATCTGCCCAGTTGTCATCCTGTTTCCATTCCCTCCTTTCAAGATGGTCCTGTAAGGAACACAAGCACTTGATTCCACATTTATTGACCAACAGTAAATTAGTGGAGGTTTTTTTTGAGAATTTATGGTTTAATATTTTATGCACACTTGAGATTTATGGCTATAATTTCGGGGCTATTTAGGTAGCTAGATATTAAGCAAGCACTGGGAGGTGGGGAAAACCAAATATCCTGATCTCTATAATCATTTAATTTTTAAAAAGTAAAAGTATACTCGAATTGTGATTTAAAAAAAAAAAAAAGAAAGTCTCTCTTTCTCTTTCTTTCTTAACTGTGCCCCTCCCTCCTCCCCTTCTCCCACCCCTCCCCCCAACCCTATTTACTCCCCCCCCTCTTCTTCTAAACCATCTTATATTTAGAATTTCGAGACTTACTTTCAATGCATACTTAGTTTCAACTGGGGAATCAACACAAGCAAAAGCAATTTTTCCGTGTCTTGACATCTAGCTTCCTATTGGCTGACAACGGGTCAGCTGACTTTGTCATTTTGTCTGTCCTGGAGTGGAGCCGTCCCTATAACAATCTAGTTCAGACTACAAACTGGAGACAGAAATAAATATTAAAGAAATCATACAGCCAGGTATAGGGGGGAAGATATGAATTCCTATTTCACAAACCCGTCGCTGTCTTGCCACCTCACCAGTGGTCAAGAGGTGCTGCCCAATGTGGCTCTCAATTCCACTGCCTATGACCCTGTAAGGCATTTTTCAACTTATGGAGCCGCGGTTGCTCAAAACAGGATCTATTCATCTCCTTTTTATTCACCGCAAGATAACGTTGTCTTTAGCTCCAGTCGAGGACCCTATGATTACGGATCTAATGCCTTTTATCAAGAAAAAGACATGCTTTCTAGCTGCAGGCAAAATTCTATGGGACACAATACACAAACTTCCATTGCACAGGATTTTACAGGGGATCAAAACAGGAGCACATCCCAGGAACAGAAAACTAGCATTCAGATATACCCGTGGATGCAGCGCATGAACTCCCACAGTGGTAAGTTTTACAGCTTGCAGAGATAAATTAAATAAACTGAACCATCTTTACGACCGTCTCCCTAGCAGAACAGGCTCAGCTACTTTTTATGGCCCCATAAAAACAATAATATAGCTTCCTCACAGTTGCCGCTACAGGCCTTTTATTTGTTAAGTTGTTGCAAGCAAATATGGCTTGTTATGCTCTTTCTAATTAAAAGACTTCGAGAGTGTAAAATATCTATAATAAAGTGCATTCGGCTTTGATTTTTTTTTCCTGGAACGGGGGTGTGGTGGAATTGAAGGACAGAGTAGAACTGGGATATATATATATATGGTGTGTGTCTGTCTCTCTGTGTGTGTTTATATACATAGTCCAGTATATTCTATATGTTGTGTCCTCTGTATCTGTGTATACATACACACACACCCCACGTATATGTATATATCCCTGAGAGGTGAGCAAGGGCATTTTTATGAAGGGGGAGGAAAAAAAATGCAGAATGTCTTGTCCAATAACAGGTTCGGGAAATGGGGATTTATGGAGTGGCTTGCCTTCATCGTGTATGAGAAGGAGTGTCTCTTCTTAGTAATTAAAGCCACGTTGAAGTAAAGATCTAATTGGATTTTTTTTTTAAAGTTTGGAGAAATAATTAAAGCCAAGACATTCTGAATCTTTGCAAATAAGATGGGGACACGCTTTCAATTAAACACCAGCCGCCTCCCCTCCCTCTCCCCCTGTGCTGCAGGGTTTTAATGGGCAGCAGGGCTAAGGAACAGAATTAGGTTTTTGGGGTGGGTGGGGGGGAGTGTCGGTGGATGACAATGAAGACAGGGCACCGAAGGATGGGGTTTGGGGGGTAGATGAGGGGCATCCATCCCCCCCCCCCCGGTCATTTTTTTATTGTTGTGGCTGATTTTGTTTGAAAAAGACACGTCTGTCCGTAGCTAATGGTTTTTAGTTTGTTTGGTTTCCGAATCCGTAGGGGTCGGCTACGGAGCAGACCGGAGGAGGGGGCGTCAGATCTACTCCCGGTACCAGACCCTGGAGCTGGAGAAGGAGTTCCACTTCAATCGCTACTTGACGCGGCGGAGGCGGATCGAGATCGCCAACGCGCTTTGCCTAACTGAACGCCAGATCAAGATCTGGTTCCAAAACAGGAGAATGAAGTGGAAAAAAGAGAGCAACTTGAGTTCCACCCTGTCTGGGGGAGGCGGCGCCGGAACGGCCGCGGATAGCTTGGGGGCCAAGGAAGAGAAGCGGGAAGAAACAGAGGAAGAGAAGCCAAAGGAATGAGCCGTGGACGGCGCGGCCACCCTTCGCCCCCCCTCCCCTCCCCTCCAACACACACGGTCCCCCTTTCTCCCACCGCCCTCAGCCCCACGTCGCGGGTCTCCTTCCGTGCCATCCCTCTGTTCCCACTGCCACCCGTGTATGCGTGGGGCGGACGCTGAGAGCGTGAAAGAGAGAGCGAGAGACAAGCGTGGGCGCGAGGAGAGCTCCCTTGCCCTCTCCCCCTCCCCCACCTCCCCCTCTCCAGCCCTGGTGCACCCCACTTCGTCCATCAGGTCCCCAATCGCCTTCGCTTTCTTGCCTAGAAAGCCCCACCAGCCCTTTACCTTCCAGCCCCACCCACCTTTTCTCCCGATCCCCCCCCCAAGCCTATTTATCTACCTTTGCATACGGACTGTATTGAATGCAACCGCCCCCACCCACCTACTCCGCCACCCCTTCATTCCTTCTCCTAAGACAGAGCCCGTGCTGACAAAAAGGCAGGGCGCCCTGTCAGGTTGCTTCTTTGGCCGCACTGGAAACCGACCATGCCAGTATGAACTCTATGCAGTTTCGCTCCCCAAATCTCTGATTATCCCTGGGGTGGTGGACACCATTGACTCCCCTAGCCCTGCGAGAGAGAGAGGGAGAGAGAGACTTTCCTTCATTAACTTTCCCCCTTCCAAGCCTCTAAGCGATGTCTACCTAAATATAGCATTTTTTTTTTCCTTTCCAGAGTAAACTAATTGTATTTAAACACTACCTGGGGTCATGATGCATAACTACAAAACTGTGACAGTTTCTGTGTGAATATTTTTAGCTGTATTTGTGGTCTCTTGTATTTATGTTTCTGTTTAGCACTGTAACGTTCAATCCGTATCAAGTGAATGGAATTAGAGCAAGTAGGAAGAAAATGATAATGATAATAATTAATTCATTATTGTGTTAACACTCCTCTCTAACATCATGTATAAAGGTCACGTCCAGAGGACTATGGTTGAGTATTTAATAAAAACTGGATATTATTTTTAAAATGGACTGGATGGCTTTTGAAATTTCATGGGGAACACCCCACCCCCCAAGTTGGAAAGGCCGGCGCAAGATGCTGGCGCCTGGTTTCCCTTTTCTCCAGGAGCCAGTATCCTCCTGCGCCTGTCCCTACCAGCTTAGCCCTAGTTACTCAGAAGTAAATCCCACTGAGTTCAGTGGAGCTTACTCTCGGTTCAGTCCGCTCAGGATCTTTTTCTGTGCCTCTGTGTGTGTGTGTGTCTATTGGGCGCGGAAAGACGCCAAAAGGTGGAGAGATCCTCTTCGCTGACTGTGTGCGGGGACAATTGCCTGGAGAAACCTGTTTCCATCCCTTCCGGCGTTCTGATTTCAAGTAGCCAAGGCAAAGGTCTTCTTTCCTGATCGCCGAGGTCAAATGTTTCTTTTAAACTATATTACAGAGACCAAAAAAA